CTGAAGGTGCCAACTCCCAGCTGGCTCATAGCCCTGGGGCCCAGCACAGAGCCAGGCTCTCACTCAATCCCCCCCTGCACCCAGCAGGACTCCCTAGCACTGAGTGCTGGTGACACCTAGTGGCCAGTGCAATTCAACACGCAATGTTTCACAACACTGCTGGTGCCCCTCAACCTTGTCCCCATCGCCCCCAGCCATCTACGCACTGGAACCACCAAAGCCGTAGGAGCTGTGGTCCCCTGGTCTCCACCCAGCCAAAGCATCCCATGCCTAACAGCCTTGCCAAGGTGCTAAGCAAAAGGATGCTGCAGCTGCTGTCCTTAGGCATGACAAGGTGAATAAAAACAGCTTGTACACTGCCTTTGGGGGTGGCAGGGAAGAAGAGCAGGGAAGGGCTGTATCTGGGAGGACTCCACTTCCCACCCCCATGGCGGTGTTTGGGGCAGGCAGTTTATCCATGCCCCTGACATGAGTTAGTGGAGATAGGACCCAGGAGTCCTGGCTCCTACCCCCTGCCAAGTCCACTAGACTCCAGCTCTCCTCCCAGTCATCCTGGCTCTTCTGACCAGTGGCTAGGGAAAGGAAGTGCGAGCCAGGACCCCTGGGTTCTCTCTCTACCTCCATTGCGCCGTCCCACAGGGGGAGGTGACTCAGTTTTGCTTGCCTGTAAAATGGGGATTGAAAACAAGCCCCTGGCTCAGGGCTGGGGCAGGTAGGAGGGTCCAGCACAGATGAAATACAGGAGCCTGGGCAACCCCACAGGACAACCAGCATAGACAGAAAGCAAGGGGCAGGGCCTGGATGCTCCTCACATGGCTCTTAGAGGGGAGCACAGTCTGCTACCCAAAGAGGGTGAAGGCTGGGAGCTCAGGCTGCTGGATCCATTGCTAGCGCTGGTTGCTGCTTGGGATCCCATCTGGCCTTGCTCATCCACAGCCCCAGGCTCTAGTGTTGCAGCTGAGACTAACGTACAAAGCTGTGAGCCCAGGAGCATGGCCCAGTGCCCCCTGTGGGGCACCCCAGCACCAGCCTCCAACCTCACCCCATGCTCTTTTCAGTTTGGCCATGAGAGTTAGCCCCTGACCTTCACCAGCGCTGCCAGCTGAGAGCAGGGCTGTGCAGGCAATGAGGACTGGAACTACCCAACACGGGGGGGGGGGGCCTTGCTGGACATGGAGCACCCTGGCATGGCTATCTTTCCCTGCCCAACACAGAGACAATAAGGCAGGGAACAGCGCAGCCAGCCAGCCCCCTTCGTCCCCTTTAAGAGCAGCCCAAGCTCCCCCCCACCACACTCCTCCCTTGTCCCCGATTCCCAGCCTAAAAGCCAATGTGGTATTTCTCAGCTGTCAGATCCGATTAGCTCCCACAGGCACCGGATGGGTCAGTGCATCTAAAGGAACATGAAAGGAGAGTGGGGGGGGTGAGGGGAGGGAAGGGGAGCAGG